TTCCTTGAGTGGGTGAAAAAAATGTTTTTTTTTCTGACAATCCTTCAGTGTATTGTCAGATAAGCATTCAGGCTGTTGCTGTGTTTACAATTTGACATTCAAGGCATGGCTGCCATTTTAGTCAGTGTTGATCTGAGTGTTTATCAGTTTTGTTTTGAATGCCAAATTAGACACACATCAGAGATGCAGTTTTAAAATGGGGCTTTTGGATTGGCACCACGTTGATTTAAAGACAGGAGTAGCACACTGGGTTATCAGAGGAGTCATGGGGTGGGCTTCAAATGAGTGAGAACAGACAGGATTGATCTACAGAGTCTGCCTTTTCAGTGAGCACGGTTAAAAATCCTTCACAATATAAAACCAACTTCCCTGGACAAAGTTTGAACCAAAGTCTTCTGCTACATCGCTGGGTTCAACATAAAGAACCACTGCCTCACCGCTGTCACTCATTCTAGCAGATGCGATATGATGCAAACCAGACTAGTGGAACCGTCCACTAATGAGTGCCTGAAGGAGTGATGACAGGACCATTGTGTTAAAGAGCTGCGTCTTTAGTCCGTCCAGGCTTTTATCTTTTCATGCTCCACTCAAGGGACTCCCAATTCGACTCCTGCTCCTCCATCCTCCCACCTCATGACTGCTCTCACCAAGATGTGGGAGTTATTACTGAGTCTGTCTGATGTTAAATCAATGTCATCAAATGAATTCAGAAATGACTTTACAGTTCTTTTTGAGGTTTATTAGCATATATTCTGAATGGACCATAAGACTCACTACAGTTTGATATATTTTATAAACTGAGTACTTTTGGACACCAACAGAATCTTACAAATATGACATTTGTATCTGTGATTTAAATTGAAAGCATGTTGCTTGGACATTTATTTTCCAATTGTGGCATTAATTAAGTGTATCAGTGATCCATCCAAATCAGTGATCCATCCAACCATCCAACCATCCAACCATCCAACCATCCAACCATCCAACCATCCAACCATCCAACCATCCATCCATCCATGCATCCATCCATCCATCCATCAATTTAAAAAAGGTTAATCATAAAGAATTTTAGACTTATATACTGTATCACATTGTCTGTAGCACATGGAAATCTGAAATTATATACCAATCAATATATTTCACTAGTTTTAGAGATAATTATCATAAGTAATATTAAATACAAATTTAATTTAAGAACCTGACTATTCCATATATTTATTGTCATTTAAAAAAATGCTTAGATAACTAAATGGGATCAAAATAATTCAAATATTATGACCCATTATTGATGTTCTCTACTGTCATATCCTGTACAGGTCAAATTAAATACACCTTCCTTTTTTTGTTTCGGTCTGATGTAAAAGCTCTAATATGACACTATTATTTTAAACTTGTCTAACAACTGTTCCTGTGACTGCTCAGCTTTAATGATGATGACTGCACTTAGTGTAAAGTTAAACAGCACAACTCAGGCCATAAAGCTGAAGAGTGCGAAAGTCGTGAAAAGTCGACGAAGCGAATCTGCGAAGAAGCACAACAAGCTGACTGTTCACAGCGGCAGCTGTTGTCTGTTACAGACGTGTCATGGATTTCGGTCCCCTGGAGGGAACAGACAGTGACAACACAATTAAGGCGGATGAAAAGTTAAGCTTATTCAGTGAGCACTCTTTTACAGACATCAAGGTCTGAGTACGAGGCACTGGAACAAAAGACAACACCGTCTAAATTCTTTTTCCATTGTTGCGTCATCAAAAGGAGGCTTTGATGCAGGTTTACAAGAAAAGACCAAACCGTTTCACTGCGATGTGAAGTATCAATAAAGATAAAGATGCATAATCACATTAGCGTTTCATGTTAATTGATTTATAATGTATATAAAAGAAGAAACCAACGCCAGAGGGCGCGTAATCAACCAAGCAGGACATTAGCGAGGATAATACCTCTCTCCTGCCAATTAAGCATGAGCGTTATGGCCACGGCCGGCTGATGGGGAGGAAGTGGCAGCAGTAGCTAACCAGGCTGATGCTCCTGTCTGCTGGGTAATTAGAGCTCATAAATCAGTTTACAACCTGGAGGAAGTGGGAGGCGATGGGTGAAGAAGAAGGAGTGGGAGGAAACAACTCCTGTTACTGCTGATGCCCATCTCGTTAGTGATGCTATCATAATGTGCACAGGCATTTAAGAGGTGTGTTTTCACTGCCTGGGTGGCAATAAGTGTGTCTTTTTTCACAGACGACTCACTGTGAGGAATAACTGAGAGGATGGTGAGCTGATGGCTCATTTTTTGCTTTTTTTTTTTTTTTTAATTATGTCCTGAAGATCCTTTCTGTGTGTTTTGCACAAAGTGCTGAGCCAGTAACAACCTTTGCTCTGGCAGATGCTCTGTTTATACCAAATAGTCATATTAAAAAATATAAAACCAGTAAGATAGAAAATATCCATCCATCCGACCGTGTCGTATTAATGATCTTTGCAGTTTGTAAAGGTTTATGAGAGGTTTCCAAAAAATGGACTATATACCATAAAAGTTTAAAGTTTTAACTTGAAACTTTGCAGCGTTTCACTCTGACCACCACCGACCGTTGATGTGTTGGAGGTAATAGTGCTTTAAGTTTGTGTTTCTGGGGTTTTCATCTGTCCAAAAACAGAAAGGTAAACATCCAGGAGCAGCTAAGAGCACAGCTCAACGCTGCAGCCTCAGAGATGTGACACTTTAAACTGTGCAAAGACATGCACTGAATTTAATCAGCCTCCAGTGCTGTGAGACTGAGAAAAAGTTTGCAGCAGAAACAGTAGCATTCGCACACACATACAAACAGGTGCACTATCACACGCACACGTGGCTCCCTTTATTCTTACAGGTTTTAAACACAGCTTTTACAGCTCTCTCTGTGGAGATGAATGGATATGTCACCTCAGGTCATCACCGTGTGAAGCAGGAAACATCCGATCAATCCCATTCTGAAGGATTTTGACAAATGAAACACTGTTGTGTATTTATCATAAAGCCAACAACTGCACTCTTCAAACAGGCAGGTGCAAAAAAAAAAAAAAGTGTGAGATGAGTCAGACTAGATGGACTGATTTTTCATTGAGTTTTACAATGATTTAAGTTCAACAGGCGTATGAATGCACCAATCAGAATGCTTAATTAATCTTCTGGATTGTCACAGAGTCAGCAAAAAGTAAAGGATTCAGTTTTAGTATTGGAGAAGAAGGAAACACACTGGCATCCAGAGACAAAAAGACATTTGTCCCCTCCTCCAAAACGTTGACCACACCCCCAAAAAAATAATTGTAGACACAAAATAAATCATTTTGAATAATATAGTAATAGTCAATAAACACACAACACAAGAAGCGCTAACCTCAAATGCAAAACAGTGTGTTTTTGAATTGCTGCCCCCTGGCCCCTCCCTGCCCCCACCCCCTCTTTTTGGGGCCCTGTAGTGATGATGAGTATGAGTTTGTGTTGTGAATTATCAGGTGTGTACACTGAATGTAACCAGGTCCAGGTCCAGAACAGCCTGTTTTGGATCTTTCAGCACCATGGACAGCGCTGCTTGTCAGACTGCTATTTTGTCATGTACCCTCCACGAATTACTGTTTAATATATATTAAATTTTGATTATATATGTTACCAACCCCAACTTAAAATCAGTTGCTTCTCAAAATGTGGGGCGGGGCCTCCAGGTGCACAGGGCTAACTTCTTGGGGACCCAATCAAGGCAAATTAATTTAAGTATGAAGAGTTCCGTTAGGCAACTGGATGTGAAATTTTCTCAAGATGTTTCGCCTCTCATCCAAGAGGCTTCTCCAGTTGTAACTCACAGTGTGGAGGACAACTTCACGTCCAGTTGCCGAATGGAACTCTGGAACCATGACTTGGATGACTGAGAATCTTCGTAGACAAATTAATTTAATTTTTTTTTTCTTAACAGGATCAATAAAAGAACAATAAATGCTCTGACGTTTTACAAAGGAAGACCTGATAGTGCTAACAAAGACTAGAAACGTTAGAAGAACAGAACACTAAGATAAATGCTTCTTTTATTTTTTTTAATCTCTTTAAAGTTCTCGGATTTTTAGCAGCATTCTTTTTTCTAAAAAAAAAAAAAAAATAAGAAAAAAAAAATTTCGTGGTCCAAGGACTTTTTGCTGTTTTCCTTTTGAATGCACTTTTTTATTTAGAAAAGTTGTTCTTAACGTCAGCAGTGATTTAAAGTTGTACTCAAGTGGGAGGTGTACAGTGGTGTCTTTACGATGTTCCTATTCTGACAGTACTGCTGTAAATTAAATCAATGAAAAATCAAAACATGCCTTAACTTGAGAAAATTCATATTCAGTGACCTTTTTTTACACCATGTTGAGCCTGTGTGTGGAAGCAAACTGTGCTGCGACCACAGATCTTTGCCTACTGCGTGCTGTACATTCACATCTACATGTATTTTTAATGAAGCATGGATGCTGGTGGGTATAAAAAGATTTGCTTTTGTTGTCAACTAATTTCAGTTTTTTTTTTTTATCATCAACATCATAAAAGGCTTTCATGGCAACAAAATATAAACTCTTATTTTCATTCACTGCCTGGACAAAAGCAACACCTCCCTGACATCGATCAGCGTCGAGCACCACACATTTGTTCTCCTTTTTAATATAAATATGTTTTGAAAAGGTAGCCAGTCAAGGTTTACATTAATAATACAGAAGGCCACGGCAGCGCAGCAACAGCACGGACTAACTTTTGGAAATTAAGGAGCAGCACACGGGGATGCATCTATAATTCATGTGATTGTTTGCATTTACACTGACTTCTCGTCTGATTGGTTCACCACTGAGGCCCTGTGCCGATATTTGCATGGAGAGAAAACATTCTTACCCATTTCTGACTGCTGTTCCCTAGCAACAACAGCGTGTGTGTGTGAAGGGGGGCGGGGGGGATGCATGATTTATACTTGTGCTTGTGTAGGTGCATCTGTGTCCAGCAGGGTGGTACTTACTTATTTTGCATCATGTTCATTATGACCCAGTCTGAGGGGTAGACGTTTTTCCCAATGAGATCTTTAAACATGATAAACGTTTCCATTAGGAAATCCTGCAAGAGAAAGACGAGGTTTTCAATATGAAAAGAGTTATTCTTTGCCATTCTCAGATAAGAATAAACAGCAGATAACTGATGCAAGTTTGTGGCTCGGAGGAACAAACACCTCTGAGATTAGTTTATGTCGCATTGGTGCAAGAAATAAAACCAATCACAATCAATCTTCTTCCAAACAGAATGTCTTTATCCGACTTTAAAATGTCCATGTTTAGGACCAACATCCTGCAGTTAACGAGAACTCGTATCGGAGTTTTACAACAATCATGCTGTGAAAAAGTGCACAGCTATAACGAGAAAGAACTGCTAGAACTTTGTTCCGAGTTTGCATCAGTTCGGTTGCAATCATTTTCTTACTGGAATAAATTGCACGTTCCAATGCATAATTCTCGTGCCAGGGCAAAGCTACAGCTTTCTGTCTCTCTGAATGTCTGAATCCGTCTACAGCTCTGCACACCACACACAAAGGTCAAAAATTATTTCTTAGCTTGATTTAGCAATAAGTGCAGTGTCAAAGCTTTTGTCACAAAGGAGAAAATAATTGCAAAAAAATTCAGTCATGTTGCTATTTTTGTTTTGTGTACTTGTCCCACCCTTTACAAAGAATAATAATTAGCTGAAATATGTGGGGTCACGACCCCAAAGTTGAAAAACACTGACTGATTTCCACACAGACTTTAGGAAGATAAGGGAATGCAGTAATAGCCTGCAGTACTATAAACACACAACTTCTTACACTAACAGGTACACAAAAGAAAACATCCACAGTGCGTATCATTAACGCCTCCTAAAGCACATCGTAATAGCTTAATTCGTACTTTCACTTGTGCTAATAGATGCTCTGCAACTTTTCCTGCAGCAATTCTCACTCGGTCTCCTCGGATTCTTTCCTTTTACTCAAGGGGAAAAAAAGCAGATTATACTTTGACTCCAGATTTTGTTTTAATTTACTCCTGAATGTTACCATTCCTTATGGATTCATTTTCTGGTGTTAGCTGTGTCGGTGCCAGCTCCAGCGTAACATCTACAACATAAAAATTCATGTTCATCTTTTCTTAGCTGAAGATGATCAAAGCTGGATCTCTGTCAGAACCAAACCTTAAAATACTGCAAAGCTCTTTAGGGCACAGTTGGTTATGAGAGCTGTGCGTGACTTACACCAGCTCAGGAAGATCCAGCCTCGTGACATAAAAGTGAACAACTCTAACGCAATAATGAAGGCTATATACTGCCTTAAACGTAGTAATGAACTGTACTACTTAGGAGGCAAAAAGCTGCGAACAACAGAATGATGTTTGGCAGCTCAAATCCAACTTAGCCTTACTTGGAATAATCAAAATTTTGTCATTGAAATACAGCCCAAAGTCAAACGTCTATATAAAAGGCGCTGCTGCTTTTCTTTTTTTGTTAATTCGTTCTTGCTCCTCCTGCTCCTTGTTCTTTCATTTTTCTTCTTTTCTCTCTGTTGCTTTTTCTTTTTCCTTCTCTTCCCCTCTTCTAACCCTTAGCTGTCCCTCTGATCCATTTTCCATCCTGGTCTCGCCCAGTGTAAATTTCAGCATCTTGGTCTTATCTACTGCAGCTCAATCCTCTCTCCTTTAGACACTGTCTCTAACTTACACACCATAGCAGGTCTCAATACAATCCACTGTTTTTTTTGCTGCTACCCCTAACACTTACTTGAAATCGCTAAATCCATAGCGGATTAAAATCATGCTAACTGCTGACTGCAGATACTGGAGAGTTATCACTCTGAAGGAGGAAATAGGCCTGAGCTGAAACCAATAACACCAACAGGACTGAACAAGCTAGAACTTGTTGGCTGCAAAGACTGATCATCGTCCCTCAGGACTAACTCTTGTTAAGTGTGTGAGAAAATACAGCAAGTCTTTAGTCTTGTCTCTCACAGGACTAAAAAAAAAAAAAAAACTGTAGTTACAGCTTTTCTTTGGAGGGAATAAAAATCTAATTTAAAGCCTATTCCTTGAAAAAGATTAGGACATGCCAGTGCCTAAGGTACAGTATCTGACAGTGAGGAGCAGTACTCACCACCACATCACTTCTTATCTTGCCAAAGGTGTTGATCAGATGAGCGTAATGATAGTCGTCCATCTGCCTCAGCGTGGCAGTCATGCTGGCCACGAAGCTCCCCTGGAGAAGAGAAAGAGGTATTTTCAATGCACAATCAAGTTCAAATTGAAGGCTGAGGACAGAAAGACTCTCCCGCTCTCTTTTTCACTCTTCCTGTGTGATTTTGATGGATGCTAACTGGCCCATAGATTGGATCTCGGCACTAAAAGCAGGCCTGGCCTCCGAGGTTCGAAAAGGTGGAGGCCCTCACTCTGGCAGTGATCTCATTAACCCAGCGCCCTCCACTCCCATGCTCTTTGTCTCCACTGATTATAATTCCTGTGTGGTCCATGAAGTACTGTCTTTACAACACACTCACTGTACACGTGCTGCAGGAGGCTGATAAGGGCAGCCAAATGTGTAACAGGCTCCTAGTGCTGCTGCTGCTGCTGCCTGTGCACAGTCACTCCACAGATGTGCTCAGAAAGGACTTTACATGAATTGATGTGAAGTAAGTAAGTGACATTAAATTAAACAGAAAATCATATAGAAGATGTTTTAGGGAGTTTTTAGTGAAATTACTTAAACGACGTTGAACTTCAACTTTAATTTAAAGCAGAGTCCCAGACCAGGTATCAGAAGAACTCAGTGTTTGTATTTAATTATTTTACGTTTTCATTTTTAAACTAGACAGATTTTCTTCCAATTACAAATGCTCCTGATACATTATAAGGCTTGTAAAAATGAAAATATTTGGACAGATTTTTCTTCAACAAAAGACAAGCTTTCTGCTTCATTTTTTAAAAGTATATATGTATGTGTAAACTGAAATAAACTGAAATATTAAATATAGTTTGGTATTTAAAATTGTGAAATAAAAAAATATATATTTTATTATAACAAACCAGACTAAATCCCAATCTTCACTCTGAGTTTTCAGACACTGTTCACCCAGTCTGATGTTAAAATTATATGTATTGTATATATTTGTTTTTGTGATCAGAAAATCAGATGAATATCAAATAATACCACAGGTTTGATTGAGTATTCAATCAAAAAATAAAAAAAAATATTAATGTAAATGCACTCATTTTAATCTTTTGTTTTCCAAATTAAAAGCATGAAAACGATAAAGAAGATATAAAGTAAAATTCCATAAAGTAAAGTAAAAGTCAATTTGAAGCTCACTGTCTGAGACGATGTTCATTAATTACCTTAATTACACATTTAGGTGGCTGGTTTGATCTGACCTTTAGCTAAATGACCTAGTACAGGCAAAAATATTGGAATCTGACAAAAATGGGAAACAGCTCCCCCTCTGTTACCATTGTATTCTGAACTCTAAGGCAGGTGGTAAAGTGACTTCCGCATGAGTGATAATTCCCACCTGCCGCGCCGTCTGTATTGGAGTGGGTCTGATCTAACTGCACCTGAAGTGTGACACGAGCTGCTCTGAGAACAAATGACAACATTTCCAACCCATTTATATAAAAACGTATCAGGCGAGACTAATTACCTGAACAAACCCCAAGTTGCGTACATTCATTTGGCAGGAGTTGCTAAAATGAGGACTTTCATTCACAAAGCCTCATACACTGATATAACTCTCGCTGCTTCACGAAAACGTAATCCTCTAAAGGGATTTCGTTTCGCTGCAGAGTGGCTCCTTGAGCAGTAATTAGGCACCGGCCACTGAAACACAGCACAGTCTCACCTCACCTGACACCGCTTCATAAAGATGTGTGTTTGTCATGACGACGCAATTCTCACAAAAGATTTGTTTTTGGTTTATTTTTCATAAATCTCCAGTATTGAAAAAGTTTCCTTCAACTTGTAGTAGTGGTACAAATCCAGGCTCTACCTTAACCCGATTTAAAAAAACACATAAAGAAATCAAGAAGAAATTGAGGCATGGAGTTTGCAAAGGAAGAAAAGCCTCTCTCACAACACACCAGCCAGCCAATCAAATGTGATTGTGTATGGTGCGGCTGTGACACACCCCAGAGCGTCTGGGAAAAGGCATGAGCAAAAAAAAGCCCCATCATTTGCCCACTTGACAAAGTCACAAAATAAATGGAAGATACAAGACACAGAAAAGGTCAAAAAATCATTAACACGGCAGGTGTTTTGTGGTGACTTGTTTGTTTTGTAGCTTGAAGAGTGACTTCATTAAATTTAAACGTTACACAGGAGTCCGTGAGGGAAACCATACTGAATGATGGACCAATAAGGAGACGTAAACAAGACTAACAGTTCCGACAGGACAGGAGCTGATGTGGTTAACGAACATTATGGGTCAATAAACACCTTGATATCTTTAAGACTGAACAAAAAAGTATTTGAAAAAAAATACTTGAACCTCAAGACATTTTGAAAATAAATTGAAAAGAAATAATTTTTTTACCTATTAGACTTTGATAATCGCTGTAACGTACCAGATCTGGTAGAAATGATACTTTTGTCATTGCTGATATGAGAGAAGAAAGAGAAAAACACTTTCTTCCATCAGAATATTTAAAGAATAACAGAAAGCAATTTAAGATTTTTCAATTCTCAGAGGAGTCAGAAACATCTGACCTTCATGAAAAATATTCTTAAAAACCAAACAAAAGGCTGAACACACACACACACAGAGAAATCACAGATCCCTGCCTTTACCAGATGGCCAATCAGATACATCCCTAATAAAAAAATGAAAAAGCTTGGATTAAAGGGAAAGATCAGAGCCATCATTCCAATCTCCAGCTTGCATCCCTTTGATAATTCATCTCACTTTGGCGTGTGCCAGCACAGAAGTAGAAATGGATGTTTGCTGTAGTTGTTAAGGGTTGCCTCACGAACGGGGCATTGTTTCAAGCTATAATTAAGCCAGACATGCTTGTCTCGGGTGAAGAGCAAGTGAGACTCGATCTGTCTCCAGAGGAGCGAGAATCAGGCCAAGAGAAACTCCAGGAAGAGGGAAATTAAGATCCAGAGGGGCCTGTGTGCCCCCTGTCATTTTGTGTTAGCTTCGGGCCTGAAACAATATGAAATTTACAGACTGATTATAACACAAATTACATAAACCCACAACAAACACACACCAGCACAACGCCCCCTAATGTCAAGAAGGAGAGCTAAAGACAGCCTTCTGTTCTCACAGAAGTGATCACTTTACTAAATAAGACCAGAGGTTTTCCCTTAAACAGTCACTTTCAGTAAAGACTTTGTTGGCATGACGACCAACAGCAAACAATGGGATCACAATTAGTATTCTCCTCCATTTGCCTCATCACTTCAACAGGCATAAAGCAGTACTGGAGAAGAGAAAAATTCCACTGAGGTAGTTATAGTAACTAATGTAAGTAACATTAAATGTCATCATTTACAGAACATACTGTATGATAAGGTAAGAAAATGAAGATAAATATTTGAATATTTATTAACAAGTGCATTATAGTTTTCAGAGCTTTTTTTTCAAATTGGAAGAATCTGGAGTTTTTGGGGGTTTTTTTGCCAAAAAGAAAAAAAATGGTTCTGCATTAGCAGAATTCTGCATTGGCAGAAAAGTATGTGATGACGGTGCAAGGTAAGAATGAGATAGAGGTGTGCTGTGTGTTCTGAGTGACAGCTGGGTTCAGTTTGAAGACAGAGCAGTGCCATGGATTCTCTGTGATCTGTCTCTTTATTGTGACTGTGACTGACAGTGAAAGAGGAAAGCCACAGATGAATGCACGAATGACAAGAAGAAGAGAGTTGACATGAAACTGAAGCAGACGATCTGTTGTGTAGCCATGAGTAGAATCAGATTAAAAAAAAAACTAAATACCACAAGTAAAAACACACACACTCACACCAAAGCAAAAACAACACAGTTGGTTCCTGCTGTGAGATTCAATAACAAGCCCACTTGGCTCCAGCTTTTCACCAACAAGGTGGCAATAAGCAGGTCAGCCAACAGAAATGAAGGAATGGCTTGTTGGAGGCAAGCTGGAGCCATTCATGCTTGGTTTTCTCCTTCAGTGGCGTTGGAGTAATACATGACGATGTCCACATAAACACTTCTAACTACGTGACAGGAAAATAACAAGCACAGAAAACCAGAGCAGCCAGCCATGAATGTGACCCCTCGTGCCACTCATGCAGAACTCCATTCAGACTGACTCAGGAGAACAGTTTCTGCACAGACAAATCAGAGCGTCAGCTCCACAAAAGGGCCACCATTTTACAGGAAACCTGAACCACTTCCACCTGACAGCTCCGTGCACGTCTGAAGTCATGTCTGGTTTATTCACTGACGAGAAAACACATGTTCACGACCACTCACTGGTCAGAGTGTCAAATCCTGTGGCTGGACTGCTGGACAAGACCCTTGTGTTTGTCAATAATGTGTTGTCATGTATCAACACAATAACACACTCAACTCAGCTATGTCTATTTGTTAGTGAAGGTCGGATTGGGTCGAGAGTTTCCCTGTCAATGACGGTCAAAGCATGTAGTGTACATAACACAGTGGTTTCCCAAACCTTCACAGATTCCTATTATTGAGCCTCCTCCTCTACCTCTCCCCTCCTCCCCCTCCTCCCCCATGTCAACACATTCAAGGTAATTGCTTTAAATCTCCGAGGAACATCGCTGAGAACACAGTAATTGTTACATCGCTGCTATTCTCATTAAACAAAAGAAATAAAATTACAGTCAGTGCAATTTCCTCACCATGACACCAATAAAATATTGAAACAAAACCTTATTTGTGCCGCGCAATAGCTCCCCGTACCACACGTTGGGAACCACAGGTCTAACCAATCTTCAACCAACCTTTTGATTCTGTCACTAATACACACTAAATTTGACATGAACACAAACGGTGACGGTAAGAGTTGAACCCATTAGCCTTTTTTAACGTCTAGGTTCTTTGGTTTTTAAAGGAGACGCTGACAGGTCTGCCCGACGTTATACGAGACTCAGGCAGCACTTCAATCCGCCTGTCGAATGAAAGGGGCACGCATAAAGAAAGTGACGCACAAATCTCCGCCTGTGATTCATTCATTTATTTATTTATGTTTTGTTTCTGAAGGGTTTAAGATGTGGAGATGAAACAC